AACTTCTTAGCATCCCTGTAAGGCAGAGGATCACGATAAGGAATAAATCTCAAAGAGATGGCAAGAATGATCCACATAACATATATAATCATAATACAAATAAAAGTGTCAGATTTTAAGGATTAGCTACAATATATCTGCAAGACAGTTTGTGGTCTCTGAAACGAAAATATATTCCCCCCCAAAATACCATGTGTCCTCCTATAACACCACATGCAAGAACAGTGCCCACACATTCAAGGCATCATTCTGCCAGTGGGAAGAGGAAGCACCTTAGTCTCTCAAATAAAAGGGATCACTACCGTGTAGCTCACATGGTCTCCGCAGAGACACTAAAAACATGTGTTGCAAAAACTTGGCTGTAAAAATGTCCCAGGCCCCTGGTCAAGAGAGGACAGGTTTCCAAACCTTGATCCAGAGGTATATTTAAAATGACAGTCGAAAGTCTTTGCAATGCAGGCTTGTCTAGCTCTGATTTAGTAATCAAAAGAGAATGACCCAGAACATTGGTTTACATGCCCATATGCTGTTGTGGAAAAATACCTACAAGCTAAGGGGCATCAGAAAGAAGCAGAACCACCTCCTACCCCAAGAGCCTAGGAAACAGTGCTGAATTACAATGGAAAACTTTGTGTTCTACAGTTCCAAGAAGACTTTAACCGAAAATGGATAAAACTGAAATTCTCCACATTTCTAGTGAATAGTTTCAGGAAGTGCCTAGAAAGTCACTATAAACCTTGAGACTCTAGGATGATTATACCATCATCCACTCCACCCCCACCACGGGTAGGGCTGCCTTCCGTCTGCTGGACAGGCACTGGGTGCTGCCCATGGGATCACAAGCGCTGGTGGGCCAGGCAGGAGCGAGAGCACCGGGCCCCTCCGTCCACTCACATCACTCGCCAACAGGCATCGGGTTTAGGTTGGCACCACAGCACGCCCCTTCCCCAAACGGGAACTGCTCTGTGGTAAACCCTTTTACTCAACAGTGAAGCATGGGAAGATGTGTAGCACAAGACATTCAACAGGATCTGCTGTCATCTTTCCATCTTTCCTCCCACTTAATTTGTTTTATTGAGATCAAGAGCAATATAAGAAAGCTAGAAATACAGCAAAAGATATGATTACATTAAAACTAAAGGAAAAATAAAGTGAAACCATTAATTGCTTGGGGAAATCACTAAAAATACTGCCAATATTTGGGTGTACAATTTAATAATTTCTGAAATTAAAAAAAGGAATAATTTAAAATATACTTGGGAGACACTTTTTTCCCTTGTGGTGTTGGGAGATCCATCTAACCCAGGGCCTTGTGCATGGTGGGTAAGCACTGTACCATTAAGCTATACCCCTAGCCCTGGCAATCTAAATATATGCTACTAGGAATGCACTGGTAAAGTACAGAATCATTCTCTAAACTGAAGAATGCAGTACTCCCCAAAGAAACACCTTCTATGATCATGGCATATAGTTCCTTACTGAGCACCTTTGTTTACACAGAGATACACAGAGTGAATTCAAGTCGAGACTGGACAGGTGGCAGACAATGTGGAAGAGGAGGAAGCCAGCCACCGTCACACACAGGTGAACTGGGTCCTCTTCAGTGTGTAAGGCACAGTGGCCACTGACCTGCGTCCTCTCTGGAATCCTAGTTTGGGCTCTTCCAACCCTCTCCTGCCACCCCCCAAAAGAAAAATGTGCTTTTCCTCCTAGTGTAGCTAAGTCTGCCAGTTCCAAGGCTGCTCCTCTCATCTTTCCCCAGTGCCTGCATGCCTGCAGCCGCCCTCACAGCTCAAGGTGGGGAAGATGGCCCAGAGCTGATGTGGATGGCAGCCGAAGTGTGTAGGAGTGCCAGAAACCCCTGCAGCCCCGAGGGGAGAGATGAAAACCCAACCCAGCTTCCCCTTCCGAAGCACGTCTACCCGGAGCACTGGCCAACTGATGCAGACTCCTCCAAAGAGCGGGAGCACAGCAGGCTCGGGAGGCCCGAGCAGGCACCCAGTCCACACCAGGACCACGTGGAACACAAGCTGTGCCTTTCCCAGGGAGGGGGCAGAGAACAGCAGACGGGAGACAGGCAACATCACAACGCAGGCCACTCTGCCTGAAACTCACGGCCTGTCAGAATAAAAAAGGCAGCTCAACTAATAAATGGCCTGTGAGTACAGATGGATTTTGGTTTCTTTTATTGTTTAGATTTTTTCCCCCATCATATCTTTTTGTGATGAGAGAAGAGGGGGTACTTAGGGGCAGGTAGAGACCCCCAAGTTAAGCCTGAAGAGCACTTGCTTTACAGAAGCTAGGCTCCCAGAACTGAGTCATCTTAGTGACCTCTTTGAGCAAAATTCTCCAGTCCTAGCTAGTCCTGCAGTGCAGAGCGGAAGGCAGTAAAATGAATGAATGTTTAAACATTGCGACTTCTGTAACAGAGCTGGCCAGCCCGCCTCCAGTGTGCAAGTTCTTACTGAGGCTGAACTTAACTTTGACAACCTTTGTTTTTGTTGTTTTTTTTTAAAAGAAACCATAGTGGTAGTAAAAAAAAAAATCAGTTCTTGTCTGAAAACTTGTTTTGTGAGTACTTTTTGCCTCATATTGTTTTTATTTTCATTACTACCATTTTTTCATATTTAGGGTTGAGAAAGGTTTTGTTTTGGCCCTGGGTGGGTGAAAGGAGATCGTTCTGCAAGACTTTAGGCCTTTGCTTGGTCTCACTAGCCTTGGTCATACCAGACTTGAAATAGACCAAGAATAACCTTCCAGATTCTTTCGGGGGCTCTGGGGAGTTACACAATGAAAGGGAAAAAAACAAAAAACAAAAACCCCAACAACTACGAAAGGTTGTGAAACCACTGAGTAATTTGCTGCTGAGCAGCATGGTGACCAGATGCAGCAAAATGCTTTCCAACAGGGCAATTAAAATCCACGCGCTCTCCTCGTCCACCTAATTGATGTCAGAGGACTGCTTTCTTCCCTGCCTTCTTGGAATGGGTAAAACCTTTGACCCTCACCAAACAGGGAGAAAATAAAGTTGCACTTTTTGTTTGCTACATATTATGGGAGTAATTAACTGGAATCGAATGATTTTAACTTCGGTGTACACTACTTATATAATATTAGTACTCATCAGGTTAATGGTTATCCCCCTAATATTTTCATCACAATCAGTAAAATGAATGGGATTTTGAAAAGTTGAGTAACAAAACAGAAATGATGACTGGACGGAAGACATAGAAACTTTGCGCTTGTGAAGAGAACCACTATCTTCCCATGTACACAGCTCTGCTTAGCCTCTGTGGTCCTGCGAGAAGGGGACCCCTCAGAGTCCTCCATGACTGCAGTAACTGATGCTGGCTTTCTCTATGCCCATGAGACCGCTCTCCTGCATTTTCAGTTAGTCAGTGATAATCCTCAGGCTGTAGGGACCCCATGACCGGACCAGTGAGTCACAGCTGCATTTAACTTAACAGCAAGCAGATAGTCGGAGGTCCACGTGGGAAAAAATTATTTGCATACATATGAAAACCAGAAGAAGAAATGTTTATTTTAAGATGAAGGCAAAAGGCAAGCTTGCACTTTTACTGGGAGTTGAAATGAAAACATTTCAGCAATCCCCTAAGATGTCTAGACCTGTGTAACAGTCTTCTCTGTTCAGAGCAATCATTTCTAATCTTAAGATTTGTGACACTCCTGGGTGTCTCCAGATATCTCGAGGCACTGTAAAATTCCCTCCACAAAATGCCAAGTTAAATAACGTGGCATGTTAAATAACTTAAATTCATTTAAAATATAACACACATGTTTGGTGGCAAGGGAGGCTGTCCTGAAATCAAAGAACAGTCATAATTATTTCAAAAGCTTGACCCCTGTCAGTTGTATTTTGGCCTAAACCAACTTATAAAGATATAAATACAGAAAATTAAAGCAGGATGCGATAGACTGCATGTATGGTTTTGTGACTGGAGATGATGGTTAAGGAGGTGGTTTACTAGGGACACAGTTTTAGTTTAAAATTTTTTTTGACTTTATTACTGCTAAGTGAATTAGTGCTGCCTGGCAAGAAGAAATCCAGTGGCTCATTCTTCCACAACACTCCACGGCAGGCAGTGGAAGCATAACTTAATTTTGCCAGCTCTTCTCTTAGTTTCAGACTTAAAACTATTAACCCGAGGGCCTGATGCTAAAGGAGAGGTTACAGGAAAGAAGGGAATGGAATTAACATGAGTAAATGAAAAAATGGAAACAAAGTCTTCGTAAATAGGGAGGAGTGGAGGGGTTGAAGGGAGGGCAGGGGAAGGGGGCAAAAATAAGAACCAAGGTATACCATGTAAAGGTGCAAATCTCCAATGATGAATGTCATCATATTGTATACCTAAAATGTACCAATATAATTAATTTTTAAAAAGTAAGTTTGAAATGTCAGATCCTAAAAAGAGGGGTTATATCCGATTCTTAATTTCCTTGGTCACCAAGAGGTTAGTAACTAACATACCACGATGAATTTGTCCTTCAGGAGCTTGGTTTATGACCATTATTTTTACTATAGCTTCCAAATCTCCAATAAAATGTTTTCTGATGGCTCACTGCCTCAGGCCCAACAACTTGCTTTATTCAGAACACCCACTTTGGTCACCTGGTGAATCTGAATGCGGATTTCTTCAAGACACACACACACACACTCTCAAAAGACAAGGCTGAAAAAAAAAATCACCCATTTTTTCATTCAACAGGCCTACCTTTCTACCTGGAGAACTCAATTTTACTGGTTACTTTCTATTCTTCATATCATTGCCTATTTAAATTTAAACTCATATTTTATGTAGCAGAGCAAGTAGCTCAAAAAATAATTTTTATTTGACCCTTTATCAATTGTTATTGCTTTCCAAGAAGACAAAAAGAGATTCCTCTACACTATGCCTCTGGTACCACATTTCAAAAATTGTCTGAAGAATCAAACTTCTGAGAGTTACGAGTAGAAAGAGGAAAAAAGAAAATACACTTGCCTTATTTGTAGCAGTAGCACTGGATCCAGGGACCACGGGCACGTTCGTCACTTGAACCGAAAGATAATTGTTATCTATGAGTGGCCAGGCCCCTTCCACTTTGCATGTTTGAAAGTGATCCTTGAAAGTTCTAAGGTGAGGATCTCCAAACAAGCCACAAAAAAGGTAACTGGGAGGGCTGTGGGCTCCTCCCCTGTGTTCTCTGGCACCTGCGTGGCTGTGATAGTTGCAAGGGTTGTGGGTCACTTCAGGGTTAGTAGAGGACGTGGGTCCATCCTTGGAGCAGTTCCTCTGGCTCATGAGGTCACTGATGCCCAACACAGCAGAATGGTACACCAGGTTGCCACGGCAGGCCTTTGAAGTCTGCTGGGTGCAGCCAGCATAGGCTCGCAGCGCCTTGCAGAACTCAGAGTCAAAGCCATCAATGGCAGAGTTCAAGTGCGAAGTCAGGGCCACAAAGTCCGTGGTACATTTCTGGATTCGACACTGGGCCGGCTGTTGGCAGTCACCTGTGGGAAAGAAGATAAGGCCAAACATATAGTGCTTCATAACTTCCTGAGTTAAGTGAGAAAATGACACTTGCCTCTGAGAACTGTTGGCTCTATTTCATATACTCCTATTTTAAGAAGCCTTCAGAAATAGGGTTGCATTGTGCTCCCGGATGTTTCTCAAATTAAGCCACTAGGAAGAAGCACTGTGCCATTGGTTAAATTAAAACTTCAAAGCATGAGCCACTGTGCGTGAACATGGCAAAATTGCATGGGAACAGTAAGTGAAATAGTTTGTCAAGGTTGCTATTTGGTTATAGATTTTAAGAAAGATTGTTCTGCTCTAAAGCAAAGCCACAGATATGAACTTTGTTTTGATTTTGAAAACTGCATGAGTAATTTGTTTTTGGAAAGCACTTTATGAGGAGCAGTGTGCACAAAACCAAGATTAAAGCTTCCATACCCGAGGCAGGGGTAAAAATCCTAAATTACAGCATGATTAGTTAAAACACGTTTACCTGATTTTAGTATGACTACAGGGTAATAGTATCACAAAATCATCCGGGTACTAAGTTATTCTACCCTTCCTGAGGCAAGCTATACATAAACAGACACAATATCCTATTTTCTACAAAATGTAGAAGCTGTTAACTTACTTGACTGAACAACAAATTTACTTCTCCCTTAATAGCCATCTGTTGCCCTAAGGATGCCAGCTTTCAAACAGACTGGAAAGGACAAGTACCCGAAATAATGAAAGTACACAATGCTGAAATTATGCTGGAGAGAGAGATGATCCCAGTCACGTTTCTTTCAGAAAGAAAATCAGAACTATAAAGCATAGAATTCCTTAAGAGTACATAAAACTTTACTTTCCCCCTTAAACCAACAATTCATATGCATCTAATGATTTAAACAAAGCTAAAATGAAGTAATGAACAGTCAAGTATTACTGCCTTGTATTTAAAAAATCAATTTTCAAATTCTCCTTTTTGCCACTAGGTTCTCAAATGATAATTTATAAAATCTCTCAAAGCTCACATACACACACCTCAGTAAGAACTGGCAATGCTAGGTTGGTTATGTGTGTCAATCAACTTGCTCATCTGTTCCATTAAAGTGGGAATAAAAGACTTGCTGAAAAGAAATGCTCTTTTATCAATCTCAAAATCTGCAGAAATGAACTGTAACATCTTGGTGTTAAAGTTCTCTATGGGTCTGTGAAAGCTGTGCAGGAAGTATCAGTCTCTTTAAGTCCCTGGTTTCTCCTCTGAGAAATGAAGCGTTTGTTCTAAGATGAGCTTTGTGATGACCTTTTCAGGTTGTCTTATTTGTACTCCAGAAGAGCTGTCCTCAGCCCCACCCTCCTTTCTAATTCTGAGACAGGGTCTCATTACAGCCACTCAACTGCCCAGGCTCGGTTCAAACTTGAGGTGCTTCTGCCTCAGCTTCCCAGAGGGCTGGGATTACAGGCATGAGTCACCATATCTGACTAATTATTCTTTTCTTTTTTTTTTTCTTGGTACCGGGGATCGAATTCAGGACCTTGCACTTTCGAGGCAGCCAGCGGCACAACTGAGCTAAATCCCCAGCCCTCTGACTAATTATTCTTAAAAATGCAATTATTTCAAGTTGTGGACCCAACACATTTTAGGGAAATCAAGATTTAGTACTTCATCTGATAAAGACACAAGATATTAATCCTAACACTGTTTTAGAAAGATGGTTTCATAATTTTAGTAAAGTGCTTTTAAATATGAATTAAATAGACTGTAATCTCTGTGACTCTACTTGGGAGAGAAAAGGGGGAAGTGACAACCTCTAATGACAACTGTGTTACCATTGTTACATTTCAGACCAAAGGAGGAAGAATAATGTAGTCTATGCTGTGTATTCATTTTAACCTGAGTGAGATCATTAAAATTATTTTAGAGCTATGGATTTACAGCAGTCACTAAATAAATTTTCAAAACCCCCACAAAACCATCTTCACGTGTTTGGCCTACTTTATGCTTGCTCAGTCCACCCTTAAAAGCCACTTTAATATTTATAAGGTTCTGCTCTCCAAACCAGGTTAAGTCATTTTTTCAGCTATTTTTTGCAGCAAAAACCAACCAAACAAAAACCAAACAAAATTCCAAAAGGCCTTAAAGCCATTTTACAGATGGGAAAATCAAAGCAAAGAGCTATCCGAGGCCTTGTCTGGGTTGCATCTTAAGCCAGGACACGGTGACTTTCCTCAAATCTTATTTCTTTTCCACTGCAGGTCCTGTCTCTCTCAAATTCCTGGCTCTGGAACACTACTACTTGATGGCTGAAGAAAAGACTTGGATAACTATTGTACTGCTTTTCTTTTAAAATCAGATTCACAGCAAGTAGAAAGCAAGAAGAGAAAATAGGGCCATGATCAGCCAGGAATGAACAGTTCTTAAGACTACAAATAAATGACAGCACAAGAACTTTCCACTAAGCTCAAAGTGCCTACTTGTCCTTTTTACGGTCTATAAAATCTATCCAAGCATATATTTACTTATAATTATTTCAAATAGTCATAAAATACCAAAAGTAAGAACAGCATGGTAACACAGACATGACCACTCAGAGGGGAGGGAAGCAAAATTGAGACTCCTAGCCTTTTCCACTTCCCTCTACTTTTCCATTTTCATAGCAGTAGGTGCTGACTGCTGTGAGAAATCACTCAAAAACCCAACAGAGTTCTTTTGCTTCCGGCAGGGTTCTAACAGCCTTCTGCTATGAAGATGATGGGGAGGAGGGGGAACTACAGAGAAAGTGCTTTTGGGTCAGCAGTTTCCGCTCCATAATGACTAATTTGTAGCATACACCCAGAAATATCTAGGCTTTATAGTTCATGACAGTGCACACTTTCCCTGCTACAGGCAGTAAAGTGCGGCTCCTGTCTGAGCACCAGGAAATACGCAGAGCAGAAACACCTCAGGGTGTAGCCATGAAGCACATGAGCAGGCCAGTAACTCCCGAACTAGCTCTCTGTACAGAAACTGCAGGGGTCTGCTTTAATACACAAAAACCCCAGTAAATATATGTATGTTTACATAAATAAACAAAAGCCTTTTCCCAGGGGCAGAATTCAAAATCTGCAGTTACAGATTTCTCTATTTCAGGGCCTGATAATCTATAACGGTATGTCAGTATTTTCATGCCAGTTATTGAAAGTGCTGAAGGATTGATGAATCTAGAGCTTTCATTTCATCATCTTTTTAATGAATCAGACATAAAGGTCTCACCATTCAAGACAGTTTTCTCAACACCAGGCCTGCATGTGCAAATTTGCAGCACAATTACCAGTTTACAATAATAGAAACGAGATATGCTGAAGCTGAATTGGGTGAAGTGCAGAGCCATATGGGTGCTGAGGCAAACGATATGGATCCGGACGTAAAACACATGGCATACCATCTGCAAAGAGCACTTGCTAGGCACACCTCTCCGAGAACAACCCCTGCAACTCAATAGCACCGCTCTTCAAAGCGACCTCTCTCACCAGGAGCCTCTTTCCTTTATAAGATCCACTGCTCCATTCCTACAAGTGGACGACCCCAGAAATCAAACCCCACAGCGCTTCTGGGCTGCACTTAACGGTGACATTACCATGGACACACTGAGATACAGAGAGTAGCTCCACGTTCCAAATTCTTAAACTGAGGCAGCTTTTTTCTAAATCTTTAAACCAATTTCTTAATGCCTCTCTTGGGCAAAGAAATCTTCAAGGCCACATTCCAATCTTGTCATGAGACCCTGTGGCCACCCCGGGGAAACAATATCCAACCAGCCAAGGGGGACACAGTCAAGCTTAGCACTTCCAATTTCCATTCTATCAAACACACACTTTGGAAACACAAGTGCTTCACACAAAACACTTTCGACTACATCTTTTGGCGTGTGAGGAAAAGTTTTCCATTCAACTGAACGTAGATTGATACTTTCTAAGGTTTTAAAGCTACTAATTTAAAGTCTTAATCATCCTAAAACTTACTACTACACTTCCTGTCTGTTTTCCCAAGTGACAATGTTAAATGCAGCTGTTACACCACAACGTTAGAACTAAATTAAGTCGTCTCCTCAAATATCAGACTTCCCACATTACTTAAACGACCTCCATGTTTACTACAGCTCCTACGACCTTGTATTTACTAAATAATATGTGAAAATTTCTCCGCACAGCTGTGTGGCAATAGTTTTGGATACTCCAGTTCAGAGCTTTGTGACTGCTGTCGCGTAAACACAGAATAGTGAGCATCTCAATTAAAAAAAAAAGTCACCTAATGCTCTCGCTGTTCTCACACTGAAAGATTAACTCCCCTTTCCAACTTGGCATTACAAAAAGTCTTTCTCTTGGCGAACTCTTAAAACTAAGTGACACTTTATTTGAAAAGAGGATCCTGGATTGCAGTGAACTGTTTATTAAAGAAAAGCTGGTAACGCTGGTTAGCAGGCTCCCTTTGCCCCGCACCCCTCCTCGGCGGGGGCTCTGTGGGGCCAGAAAACTCTCGGCTGCCCCCAGGCCCGGGCTCCGGGGGAGGCTGAGCTTTGAATTAAAACCTGCCCAGGCCTCACCGAGAAAACCCCGCTCCAACAAGCCAAGTTCCTGTGAGATGAACCCCCAGGTTTATCACCTGGGGAAAGACCTTTCCCTCTGGTGCGACGCCCTCGCCTCGCCGCCGCCCAGCGCCCGGGGAGCAGCCAGGCTCAGTCTCCCTCCGAGGCGGCGGCGACCCGACCCGCGCTGCCTTCCAGTAAACACCACGGCGGGGAGCAATGAAACTCCCGGAACATTTGTCTCGGGAGCGTGGCCCCCGCCCGGGCATCTTTGATAAGCGGCAGGGGTGGGGGACTTCATCAACGGTCCGCCGCGAGGGCGGGAGGAGGGGCGCGTTCCCGCCACCGCCCGCCGCGCGAGGTGCGAGTCGCCGCCCCGGGAGGCCTCTCCCGCCGCGCTTCCGCCCCGGGAACAAAGCCCGCGCGCGGCCCGTACCTGCGTGGAGCAGCCCGAGGCTGAGCAGCAGCAGGAGCAGCGGCGGCGGCGGCAGGCCGAGCCGGGGGCGCCGGCGCTGCTCAGCCCCAGCGGCGGCGGCGGCGGCGGTGGCGGCGCAGGAAGGTGCTGCTCTCAAGCCCATGCCCGTCCATGCAGGTCTCGCGGTTGCGCCTCGCTTCCTCTTCTTCCTCCTTCAGGCCAGCGCAGGAGACCGGCGTCCGCCACCGCCGTACCGAGCGGTGCGCCGCGGGCGGAGCGAGGAGGCGGCGGCCACGGGGCGCGGAGGCATCGCAGCGGGCGGGAGAGAGGGGCAGGAAAGAAGACACAAGACAGTGAGCGAGGGCCGAGAGGACCCCCGAGCGCGCGGACGCCCCGGCCCCGACCCCGGCCCGCGTGGGCCCTCAGCAGCTTTGTAGCCGAAGCAAGCAGCCGCCGGGCCCGGATCTCTCTGCGGGGCGGCCCCACGGTCAATCTCAGCCCCGCACTGCCGCCCCGCCTCCTCCCGCGCCCACCAACCCGCGACGCCGCTACCCACGGCCGCACCCCCTCTGGCACTTCCCATTGGCTGCGAGCGCGCCACCGCGTCCCGCCCCTCGGGGGGCTCCTAGCGCCGGGCTCCTAGCGCCAGTCTCCGCGCCGCCTCCGCCTCCCGTCTGCGAACTGTAATTCGAGTTCCGCGTCCGCGGGCTGCGGCTTCTTTTGCAGCGCTTGGGCCAGGCCTCCCTCCCTCTTCCGCGATTTACTGTTTCCTCGCACCCAATAGAAATCGGCGACGGCAACTCTCACTCTCGCCGGCCGCTCTGAGGACCGGCCTTTAACCTTTCCTTGGATGAACGCGATCGGATTCGGCGTCTTCCAAATTTTGTTCGCAGTCGCCCCTCCCCTCCGGCCTACCCCTCCGTTCAGCTCGCCGGAGGACGCCGGCGCTGCTCCCGAGCCGGTCCTGCCAAGCAGCGGGACCCCTCACGGCCAATCGCTCGTGCCGAACCCTGCAGCGAGCTGCTGGCTCCAGCTTAGGGACGCGACCCCGCGGCTCCGAGCAGCTCGGAGGGGCTGGAGGCACCTGCGGGCCCCCGGCGGGGTAGACCCGCAGCTGCAGGAGGGGCTCAGAGGTTCTGGTTTCTTTGACATTTCCTCGCCAGTGGCAGTGGCGAGGAGGGGTCTGAGAGTGGGCGAACTTCAACGTGTTCGGTTACAGCGTAATTATAGTAATGAGTGGGGAGTTTTTATGCAAGATAATTACGCCACGATTTGTTGTTGTTCAGCGGCGTTTGCACAAATTTCCACAGTCTATTAGGTTAATTCAATGATAGATCGTTTTCTACTTTTGAGATTGGAGGGGTCCAAAACTGAGGAAAACACCAATGTCTGCCAGGGAAAAGACTAGCCAGTGGAGATGGAGAAAGCAGTTGTGAGACTGATGATAGGTTGCAATTTGTTATCACTAAGTGTGAAGTGGTATCTCCTTAAGGCCAGGACCACTTCATACTTTTCTGGTGTCTGTAGTTGCACCAACCGCTCAGGGCTGCCATGTTAAATCCACTTACTCCATCCAAATTGCAGTCTGCAGCTCGGTCCGCTGTATTAGTCATAGTCTGGTTAGGAATTTCGTATCAACCACCGACATGTGAATATTCCACATTACAGCGTGCTAATCAATGGACCAGGATAATTGGGCGCAAAGCTTAGGTCTTACCAGCTTACTCATTAGACACACTGTAAATTGCTCAAACCACAGGGTCCCTAATGAAGGACACATATCTGTTTTTACTGTAACTTTTCATTACTTCATACTATGATGACTCAAGTGGTAAACACACCTTTCACTATCCTCGATATAATCCACACCTTGTGTCTATCTTTAATATGCTTAATAACAGCTCAGAGTTGCCCGGAGAAATGACTTTTGAGGGCAGGGTGGGCGTGGGTGGGGATATCTGATATTTTTAGATATCGTGGTGGCCTAAATACTGAAGCAAAAATTTACTATTGCAATTGCTAGATGTCATTCATAAAGTTCATACAGTATTACTGTCTTTTTAAAAAGCAATCATGAGATTGGGCTTTTAAAAAATGTTTAGGTGACAGACTAACAGCAAATTGTAGAGGCTTTTTCTCCTCTTGATTTCGATCCCTATGAAAAAGCATCCCACTTTATTAATCATACTTCAAAACATAACCCTAAATTAAGGATCAATAAATTCAATTTGGTTTAGATCTTTCTGCTAGTAACTTTTTAATTTTTCTTTCCCTTCGCCGCCTCAACCTGTTCCTTACAGAGGCACTCCAGTTTTTTTTTTTTGTAATCAGCAGAGGGCGGCCTCGAGTCACTGTAAATCCTGGTGTCAAGAAACAGAGCTGTTCTTCAGAGGAAAAACTTCATCTCCTCTAAGGTGCTTTATTGCTCTGCTGTTGTAAAATTTGACAAGCTCAAGATTTATAAGCCTAACAATTCACTTTTTTATTGCTGCTTAAGTGTTCAGCCGCTAGAGGAAAATGCTAATTTTCACAATTAAACCGCAAGGTGGTTCCTATTTTCATGACATTAAGCCAGTTGACACACTTGCGGGTAAATTTGGACTGCTGGCAAGATCTGGGATCAGCTCCGAAATCAAGAGCTTGCTGAATGGTCGTTTATAGTTCAGCTGCTCCCTCAAGCTTGTGGGCTGCAAGTTAAGGAGCATTTTGGATGCTACAAATAAAAGTCTGGTAGGGAAGCTAGGACACAAACATAAAATTGATAACTTGTAAAGGTTTTACATTTTAATCAGAAAAAAACTCCCATAATGTGATACAACTTGTACAACTCACAAATCCACCCTGCTTCTTGTCACTTGTATTCTTTCTTCCCTCCTCTTTGTTTTCAGGAAGGAAAGCAAGACCAGAACAGTACACTTAAGGGACCCAGCAAAGCATACCACCGTATGATCATGCCAGTGGATAGAATTAAGACACATGCCAGAGACATTAATGGATTCTCAACAAGATGTGGTTTCATTTCCTGAACCCGTACGCGATGTCTTAACCGTTCCCCAGTTATTATGTCTCCGTTTACAGAAATCTAACACGAGGATCCCTGCCTGCTTAACATCACCTAGGGCAGGCACTGCAGGCAGGAATCAGACCCAGGGTTGCGATTACAGCCCATTGTAGTCAGGGCTCGCCGGCTGCTCCCCAGTCTGGTGAGTAAAGCAGGGTCTGATACAGCCCAGAGTCCGACTTCCCAGCGGCCAGTACCGAGTGATTTGTACTTACATCATTCTTAACCCTTCCGCTCCTGCAGGGGGTCCGTCGGGATCAGGGGGCCCCCAAGCTCCGGAACTCGCAGGACCTGGGTGTAAGAGAGGAGCCCCAGGGTTCGGCGTGAGAGCTGAGCCCCCGGAGGAGGAGAGCCAGGGGCGCGCGAGGGGCGCACGGCCACGCGCACTCGTCCGGCCCCCGAGCTCCCTGCGGGCTGTGCCGCGGCTCGCACGGCTCCGAGCGGCAGGTGCAAAAAGCATTTAGGAGCCGCTTGCCAGCGAACGGAGGTAATGCGCTTCCTGTCCATTTATCTCAGAAACCAGCGCAGCCTTCCCTTCGAAACAAAATTAACCTTTCATTAGCCAGCCACTCATTCCCAGGAAGGCCTTAAAAGCTTTACCAGCTCACTAATGTATTTAGGCTTTTCTTCCAGGCCAACGCGGCCGCGCCGTGAGACTAACAGCATAGCCCGGGGGGTTTCTCTGGGCTCCCCTAGGAGCCAACCGCCCACTATGTTTCAGCCTGAAGTCTGGGAACCTCCAGCCGACCCGGGACCCCAGTGTGTAGCACCAGGCGGACTCGACACCCCTGAACGAACTTCTTGCCTGAAGCCTCCAGGACGAATTTCCACTAATTGCATGGGCGCCCTTCCCACCAGAGCCTCAGCTCCACTGTGCTAAAGGAACTAGTGAGGAAAGGTCAGCGGCCAGCTGGTCCCGGGACATGGGCGCTGACCGCCCTAGGGAGTCAGCGTGGTCCGCAGCCACGATCTCGTGGGGCCCAGATGCGGGGACGCACAAGCGGTCCTAGGTCCGTAAGTGGCGCGCGCGGCGAAGGGGGCGCCGGGGCTTTCTCACCCTGGCCCCCCGCCGCCCGAGGCTGGCAGATTTATACCACACAGGTGGATGGAGACCTAAACCAAACACTCCCAGTCTCTGCCTGCCACTCGCCCCCCACCTCCCACGTTCCCCCGGCCCACCGCAAACTTCAACAAAATAAACAACTCACCACAGGCATTCCCTTGTCTGCAGCAAGACGCTTGCCAGCTGGGAAAATAAGCCGCAAGCCACGCGGCCCCGGCGCAGGAGGAAGGCAGCGCGGCACCCGCCCTCTCCCCCAGGTGGGGGGCGCCAGGGCCGGGGGCGGGAGTTGGCTCAGCCCGGGAACGCTCCCCCAGCCCCCGACTCCCGCCGCGAGCTCCCGGCTGGGGCTGCGTCCCCCCAGCCTGCGCGATCTCTCTGCCACCTAGGGGAGAGGGCGGGGAGGCAAACCTCGCAATTCTCCTCCCCACCCCCAACTTCCTCGAAACTGCTTTCGCCCCACTCCGGCCTCACCCAGAGCCTGCGCCCCCCACCCCTCGCCCCTGCCCAGAGACCTTTTCTGCGCCACTTCGCCCCCTCCCGGCGCTCCCCAGGTTGCTCCGGTGGTGCTGAGGAGTGGGCGTTGGGGACGCCCCGGAGCCCCTCCACCAGGTCCCAGCTCCTCTCTCTCTCTCCTCGCCCCGCGCCGGGTCTCGCACAAAGACGTCTTTCACGCAGCCAGCGCCACCCTCCGCGCCTCCCTGCAGCCCGCGCGCTGCCCCTGCCCACCCGCGGCACCGACAACTCGCGGGCCCCCGTGTGCCCGCTGCGTGCGAGCCGTGCCCACTCCGCGCCTCCGCCCAGGCGACAGCTCGAAGTCCCCCCTCACCCCAGCTGCTCACCAGCGCCACCGAAGGCACCCCTCCCCGCCACAAGCGATCCCCGAAGGCCTCTCTGATGTAGCTAAAGTTGGGGAGATGGCGGGAATGGTTCTCTGGACTAGTGCCGAAATCAATCCAGCTATCTTTCCTGTCTACCTGAGGTGCCGCTAGGACTTGCGCTTATAAATAAATCCAGGATAAATATGTGGGAATAACGAGGGCAGAAAGGGTAGAAAGAAACCCCCAAGGCCTAGGTGAGGAAGCGTGTAGTAAAAGAACAAGCCCACGAAATGTTCGACCGCTTGGATCAGCCTGGAAGGTGTGAAGGGCGAGCTATGCACTTCGTTGCTGAGGCTGATCTTCAGGGCGGAACACAGCCTCGCAGACCTCCAGCGGTAGCTATTTGGAGCTTTCAGGGCCGGAAGGAGCTGCTTCTCCGTCGAGGCAACGGCTCTTGACTCAGCTAACTGTGACCCTCTCCGGCGCTTCGCCTTCTCACTTTTGTCTGTAGTTTCTCCATCTAACTCTAGAGGCAGCACAGAGGAAAGAGGGTGGGAGTGGAAATCTAGAGGGTCCTGACTTTTTAGGTCTGGGTTTTAGGCAACCGTTTTAACGTCTTTGAGCCCTGGGGTCAACCACAGAAAAGAGTGAGTAAGGAGCAGTGGCCCAGATCTGTCCGGTTGTGAGATTTTACGATAGTAGACCCCTCTTCGCACCCTTTGTAGGTTCCTTTTTTGTGTTTTCCTGTCTTTATCTTCCCCAAGTGCCATTCACACTGAAAAAAAGAAAATACTGAGGATGTTTCAAGGTAAATGTAAGATACGTTGAAATATACTTTTTGCTATTGAGAATTAAAAATTAAGAAAAAAAAAAGAACCTCAGCTCCTGGGCCACAGAAACAAGGAATTTTAATATCCCTCACTGGCTTTGCCTTTGAAAAGCCACTCCAGCAATCAGTAAAGCAGAGCTTTGTTTTAGCAACTAAAGGCTAGTCTCCTGTGATTTCCCTTTACCTTCTACCAACCCAAAGACAAACTCCAATAAAATAATGATGAAAAAGAGTTCAAAGCCAGCCCAGAGGTTGTTTTCTAATGCAGCTCCAGTCGTTCACCACTCCCTGCTAAACTTGCTTTAGATCTTACATAAATTGCAGGTGAAAGCTGCCAGAATCCTTTTTTCTGACCGCCCATGTCCTCCAAATATTGGACAATGGAACCTCCATGTTAACTTGTTAATCGTCATGTAAATGACTTCATCAAATCATCATTTAATTTTTCCTTGTTCTCACGATACTCAGGATTTTCAATTCCACACCCACTTTGGAACTTTGAGCCTTAGATATCCCTGTGGCCAACCATGTCTTGTATTTTTGTAGATCCTTCTCTGAATGAGGCAAAAACAAAAGGTGAAATTTCAGAATGAAGTATTAATTTTGAAACTATAAATGCCTTGCTTCTTCAGTTTGAACAATTAAATTGCAGAACTGCTCAGCTTTCATTAGTAACGTACACTTTAAAAATTCCCTGTTAAAAGCCCAGCATGGTGGCACATGCCCACAATCCTGGCACTCTAGGGGTTGGAGGCAGGAGGATCAAGTTGGAACCCAGCTTGGGCAATTTAGCAAGACTCAGTCTCAAAAAGCAAAACATAATTTTTTAAAGGATCAAGGATGCAGCTTAGTGTGAAGGCCCTGGGTTCAATCCCCACTACCACAAAAGAAAAAAAAAAGTTATCTGTTGAGAAATGACAAAACTAGAAGGTAAGCTTTTGGAGATGGGGAAAGGAGTCATGGTGGGGGGGAGAAGAAAAGAAGAGAGAGGCGATGAGATTGAAAATAATCAAGGTATGTTATATGCACATACCGCTTTCCCCAAATAAAACTCAGTGTTCTGTGTTATTAATATGTACTAATAAAAATAATTTTAAAATCTTGAAAAGTTACCCATTAAAGAGATTTTTAAATTGTATAAATTTGTAAGGTAGAGTAGGATAATTTGATACACAAATATAGTGTGTAATGATCAAATCAGGGTAGTAACATTTATATTTCTTCAAACATTTAAAATGTTTTTGATTAACATGCAATAATTATACATTTTGGGGGTACAGGATGATATTTCAATGTATGTATGCCTTATATACTTATCAAATCAACATAATTAACATTTCATTACTTTGTGTTTAAGTACCTTTTCACTGGGAAACAAAAGGTTTCAATAAATAATAGCTGTGAAAAAATATCTTGAGCTTGTTCAATTCTGTTGCTTTTATTTTAAAGTATTTGAATGGACAAATACAAAGTGTATATATGTGTTGTGACGTGATGTTTTGAAAGGTGTGTACATTCTGGGATGCTAAATAAATGTATTCATTTTTTATATACCTGCCAGGTTTTGTGGTGAGAAAACTTCTAGTGATTTTTAAGAAAGCAGTCCACTATTACTGGCTACAGTCACCATGTTGTGCAGTAGTAGTCTATTGGTTTTGTTTGTATCAACCTCAGCAATCCCAGTATCCTATTCATATGTCCTGGAACATTCATATGTCTAATTAGACCTTGGATGTTCCATTAATAAAAGGACATTTCTTTTTTTTCCTTCCAAATTCTTTATCTTGCTCAGAGTTACACAATTTTCCTCTCTTATCTCATTTTGATCTTTCTTTTTTTTCTTACCCCACCTCAAACCCAAGATGGAAATATCAGAGACAAGAGGTACTTTTTGGTAAAATTCACTTACCCTTTCTCTATTCAGTGTCAAGAAACTTCTTGCTGGTATAATACACACGTGCATCATCTTTCCAGTCCACTTACAGAAGACAAAACGAGTTTTCAACAATCATCAGTGAATGTACACATCCAGTTCTTGAGTTGGCAAGGTCATAGCTTCATGGCTTGTTTACTTTTTTTTTGGTGCTAGGGATAGAACTCAGGACCTTGTGCTTTCAAGGCAGGTGTGGTGCACCTGAGCTAAATCCCTGGCCCCCATAGCTTGTTTAGTTTTGTTGTTTCTAAGTTTACCCTTTTGCAAACTGTGGGAATGATATCAGTTATCAAGAAACACATGGATCCATTTTCTAGTCTTTCTTGTTCTGCTTTTCTTGCATGTTTTGTTGAAATTCTTTTCTAAACCAGTGTTAGACAAATGCTCAACTTAATAACTCATTATAATGTTTCAGAATTATTATTGCTAGTAAATTACAATATTCTAAATATTAGTGGTTCTAATAACAGCAAGTAATAGAATATTTATAAAATAATACTAGGAGAAAATGCTGCTTTAAATGTGTAGTATTTTATTTGGTTAAATCTCACTGAAAGCCATCAAATTCTTTTTTGTTTTATGGAAATAGTGATAAAATGAAAAGGTATAAGACTTATTTCTACTTTTAAAACAGAGAGGGTTTGCTTTGCTTTTTTCCCCTCTACAAGGACAAAAGACAGCTGTCTTCAACCATCACTTCATGTTATGGTTAAGGTAAAGAATCCTGGTAAATTGTAAATGTTAAAAAAGAAACATCTGGACACACAGCCAATGAACAAAGGAAAATTTTTAAAATTTTAGAAGGTGAAAATTTTGCATCCTATTAGCAATATAAGCCTGGTTTTCAAGAAATATCCTAAAATTCTGAGATTCCTATATAGGTATTATATATAGGTGTATAGTAAAATAGCTAAATAAATGCATATCAAATTAGGAAAGTCAGTATTCATATAGAAATATGAGTAAAAAGGAAAATTGACTATAATCTCCTTGAAGTGCCAGAAGAAAATCCAATTTTAAAAAATTCTACTTACTGTTAGCTATTTAGCACTGTATAAATCAGTGCAATATAAAACTGCTAAGGTTCCCCATTTCCCTATTGTGTTTGTATATTACAGTTGGAGTAATTATAGGCACACTCACACACAATATTTTTTAGCTCTTATAGGTCTTAAGAGACTACATATATTTTAAAGATATTCATGTTTACATTATATTTTCTCTATCAAAATGAACTTTAACAATTGGTAAAGAATCTTTTTAGAGAAGTAAGTAACTGTGAAGGTGCTTATCTGTGAACTAATTTAGACCTATTATCATAATTTGTAGTTTCACAGACAAGAGGTAAGTTTCCCCACACTCACCTGTATCCACAATGGCAAGAACATTACAACAATATAGCAAACCAAGATACATTACAATCCTTTGACATGAAATCTAAGACAAGTGGAAAATTAATTGGATACCC